ATGGCAAGAAGCTTTTGCATGCACTGCTGCAGAAGAAATCAGTGATTAGCCTTTATACAGATCACACACAGGCATCTCAGTTGTCCATCTCCTTTTAAAAAAAAAGGTTAATTTTTTTTTGCTTATTTTTTAATAGTTGAGGCTGCTTTAAAAACAAGGTTGTAATAGGAATCAAATTACTATCACAAGACAATTCAGGAATTACTTTCCAATTTAATCCACCACACAGAAGTAAACAAAAAATCAGGAGGAGGTAATGCTAAAGACTGATTAGTAGAAAGAGAAATGAATCAAGAAGGAAGCAGAGTTCAGCAACTTTTTCTGAAATTCAGCCTTGGTGTGCAAGGCTGCTGTGAAAAAAATCATTCCTTGCACTTCTTCACACTTCAACGTGGAGAGGACAAACCAAGAGGACATCAAACTGCTACGTTGTGGAGAGGATCATGAACAGAAAAAGTATGTTTAATTGCATTTCTTATATAAACCTCTCTTGAATCCACACACTAGATTTATTCCTTCTTCTGAAACACAAAACCAGTCTGGCAACACTAGTTATCTCCAACCTTCTTCAAAGGCCTACTTTTCCAAAAAGCTGATGTGTGGGTGGTGTATTATGCTCCTGTTTGAAACTCTACCATAGGATGCCTTTTTTATCCTGAGGCTGGATAGATTATTTATTTTTTTCATAATTAACTGCAATAAGTCTGCTTTTATGGAGCTGAAGATGAACTTATTATTAGGAATGTTATCCTATGTTGACCGTTCAACTATTGTTAGCAGTAGCCTGGCCACTGAGTTTGCCCTAGCTTGTGCCCATCTACCAGAGAAGTAACTTACCATTAAGCTGCAGAGATAAGAGACGTAGTATATTCAAGGCAATATTCCTTGGGTCCAGTCTAAATATCCTTGAGTAATGGGCACAGATAGAATTGGTTTTGGGAAAAAAAAAATTAAAAAAGTAATAAAAAAAAAGGCTTCTCAAAACTCTTTTTCTCAGTTAATTCTCTCAGTCTGACTTTGGAGATCAGAATGTCTTGTGCATTATAAATTGCAACTCAAGACCGCTCAAAAAACATAGCTAGAAGCAAGTAAACAGTATGTGGTTTTGTTCAAAGTTTTCTCTTCTAGTAGTGATCAAGTAGTCATACAGGACACTTGCTTACAAACTTGTGTGAAAAACACAAGTCTAACAAATAAGGATGTTCTTAGCTATGATCAGAAGATGGCATTCAAGGGTTTCATCTATTTCTGATGATGCATAGTGATGGTTATGACACAGCACACTACAAGAGTCAGTATGACACTAAGGTGCCTTTGCCCATAACAGCATTCCTCAGAGAGATGTCTAAGGCAGGATCACAACACTGCACAGCACTATTACTTTTACAATAATTTTTGTGAGTTTTAAAAACACGTGAGCGTTACGTCATTAAGAGGAGCACAAGGGGTCCCTGCTTTGCCACCACAGCTCCTCTAACCATTTGGCAAGTGGAATATTACCCAACTGTTTCATAGATCAAATTTTCCAACTTTTTGGACTGCATTTACATATGTTATCCTGAAGATAAATGTTTTCTATCAGGCCATCAATCTCTAAAGCCATGTAAGTTTTAGGTGAAAAATTCAGTATATAATTAAAGGATCCAGTGTAAAAGCTCTGAATTATGAGCTCGACTTACAGCTCCTTTTAAACCTGGTCTGGTAAGTTAAATCATACATTTTTGACACTGATGCTGATCATGAATAGAAGTTCTCCAAAAAATATGTTGCCTTCAGCATATTTTCACCTTCCATGTAAATTTATCTGCTACAAGAAATCTTTCCCTAAAATATATTAACTCCAGCTATATAACATTAGGAAGAGATGCAAGCCAGTCATGTTCAGGAGAACTGGAAGATAACTGTGAAATTGCTCTTTAAGAGACAGATCTTTTACAGATGGTGAAAAGTCATAAATATGAAGAAACAGAACACAACTGTGCAGGCTGAGTAGTGTTAGCCTATTTTATTTAGCTCTGCCAAGCTTCTCCAAATACAACTCTCCCCTGTCCAGGGAATAATCTTTCCTATACATTTGCCACATCTAGGCTTTGTAGATCAGATCTGAAACAATGTCTTGCTCATTAACTGATAGGACACCTTTGATAAAGAGCAAGGGTGATTACAGTTCTACAATAGACGAGTTTGTAAAAAACAATAAAAAAGATATTTTTCTTCAGGTTTGGTAGCTTTTTCTGGTATGAAAACTATCTTAACATGAAGAGATGCAATATTCTTGTTGACTTTCTTAATGAGGACTTTCACAGTTGTTAAAAAATGAGCAAGACAATATTGTGTGTCAATTCTTTATCTTTCCATAAAGTAGTAGGTTGTGACTACAAGAAATGTTCTTTGTTTCATGCCAGTGATGGAAGTTGATCCAACACACTGGAGGCCAATACACAAGCAAGACATGGCAGATTGTAGCTATTTTGAAGGTTATGTGCTCTGACTGATCAGCTCCCAGAAAGTGTGAGAGTCCGTGCCGTTCTTATAAGTGCAAGTACTCATCAGGTCTCTCACTTCCCCTCTAATTCTCTCTAAAAAAAATGGTTGAAAATTAATATTCTCTTGGTGAATATTAATTCACCTCTTGCCAGAGGTGTCTTGCATATTAAAATAGCATATCCCTTTGCAGAAAACCCGATAAACAGTGATCACATAAATCATGTTTCCATAGGGAATCAGGAGCCATGGGAAATAGCTACAGCTACAGTTAACTTGTTTCGAAGTCCCTTGTTGTAGACAGTTTTCTGGGAGAAAGATAAGGAAGAAATTCATACTCTTAGTATCTAAAAGCTACAAAAGCAGAAAAAAAACCCAAGAAAATTCTAGATTCCATCTGCATAGGCAAGACAATACAAAGACAGGCATAAAATGTGGCCAATTTGAGAGAAATCTATTCTTTCCAAAGCCCAAACCAAACCAAATCCACAAAAGAAAGCAGAGAATGCAACTAACTTCCTCTGTTCCCCTTCCCCGTAGAGACTGCCAAGGTCAGTCAGGGCAATGACAACAGGATGGGGATGTTTGAGCAAGGCCACGACAAGGACTGGTGTGGGCACCTGGAGTGGGCTGGCTCACAAGACTGATGTTCAAGGCAGTTCAACAAGCAAGTGTGTACAAAAATCGACACACCAAACTGAAGTAGAAATAGCTATGGGTTAGGTACAATATTATCCTAGTACCTACCTCTGCCTGTTAATGACAAAGGTCAGCAAAGGTTATCTGTGCTTCTAGTGCAGACAGCTTTATTAGTTAGCTTCATTACTCTATCTAATCAATTACAAATTGAAACAGAATAAGTCTGAAATCTCTATTTAGATTTCTTATTTCTGATCATTTTAGTTCCATTTTTGGTAGACTGATATTTTACTTTCCTTTAAGTTGCAAGACAAACTTTTCACTTGTATTTATAGTCTGCATGTCCCATAAAGCCACACAGGTTTGAAGATGCAATGCAAGGCAAACCGAAAACCTGATGGCAAATAAAACCAATTCCAAATTCATCACTGTTTTAGCTTTCTAGATATTAGAAGGCTTCATAAACTTTTCTGCATTAAGAGGATTGATTAGTAATAAATTTGAGAAAAATAACATGGTATGGTTTATATTCTTTAAAGATCTTCACTGCAAAGTTTATGACAATGTACTACTATAAATTGTTTGTTAACAACTGGTTTCACAAAAATTCACTTCTACCATCACAAGTCCAGCCTCTATATAAGTCTACCAGAGTGTATTTGTGATATTAGTTGTTTACTTAAGAATCATTATAGAGCCAAAAAATCACATGCACATTTTGAAACTTTACTATAGAATCTCAGAGTCACAGAATGGTTTGGATTGGAAGGGACCTTAAAAATCATCTAGTTCCAATCCACCTACTGTAGGCAAGGACAGCTCCCACTTGACCAAGCTGCTGAATGCCCCATCTAACATTAGTCTCATCCTTAGGTCATCAATTTAATTGCATTAATATTTAACAGATTTAAACCATCTTTTTTTTTTTTTTTTTTTTTTTTTGTGTTTTAACCAGAAACCTAACATTTAGATCATACAAATTTGAAATCAACAGTGATTTAACTTTCCAGACTGTAAAATAAACCCACATATAAATCGCAAGGGGCCAATACTAAAAGCTACACCATATTTTATGTATCTCTTTATTGCACTGCCTTTGCCATTATAAGACAACCACCTTGTGTTAAATTAGGACCACAAGTAAGACTAGTAGATTAACAAACAACAGCAATGAAGGTTGAAAACTAAGAGCGCAATCAACATTCTTGTGGATGTAAGAAAGCTAACAACCTCCTACAGGTTTTATTGGTTACAAATTTTATGGTATTTTTAAATGGTACTGGATGGAGAATCACATGAGCACTGGGAACACCCTTCCTAAATAAGAGGATTTTGTCTCCAGCCAAAGGCACATGCAAGCTTATGCATCATCATGGCTAGGCTTTGCAAGCACTGCTGGTTAATTTGACAGAAGACTGAAACTGGTGATTGTCAGCAAATGCTTTTAGCTATGATTAGTGTTATTTAAAAATTACCTGGGTTTCCTGCCCAAAAAGTACACACTGCTTGCTCTCTCTTCTGGACATACTTGGTGCCAAATCTGGTGTAGACTCCTTTCATAGAAAAGCTTGTCAGAAGTATTAAGTCAAATTGCTAGAAAAATATTTGCTGTTAGAATTAAACTTCAAAGACCAGTTCAAAGACTTCAAGGGGAAAAAAAAAGTATGCAAATGAGAAATAAACTTCTGAAGTTTTATACTGACGTCAGTGTTAGTCAAAGACTGAAATATAGCATATCTTTAAGCTTTAACTGCATTTTGAATTTTACAAATAAAGAGTTTCAGTAATTACAGATCAGAAATGGAAGACTAATTTGAATTTTTAGAAGTATCCTATTTCCAATGTGTAAGAACTTCTGAACACTGATCTGTGGCAGACAAAAACTACACCCATACTCAGAAAAGAAATGTGGGTACTACAAGGACTGTATTGCAAATTAATACAAAACATAGCAGAAACAATAAAATACAGTAATTTTACACTAGGGATTACTATTGCCAGCATTTTAAGAAATGCTTTTAGTTACATTTGCAGAGACATTACAATCCAAAGTTGCACTAGAAATTTATACAAAGCAGGATAAAATACTAAATGTTATTTCAATACAGGAACAAACCATACAAACACTAAGATATTCTGAAATGAAACCAACAAAATTTCTCATTCAATACATCTAGTTATGCTAAATCAAAATCCAGTTTTAATCATTAAAACTCTAATTATCTCAAAAGATAATTTCATAAGATACCTGTCTGTTTCTTACCAACCCTAAAATAAATAAAGTAATTTATAAAATTCTCTGAAGAGTCAAAGGTAACTAAGACTCATAACTGTAAGGAAAAGTTGGCATTTCTGATCTGCTTACTCAAAGGATCCAATTCCTTAGATTGCATGAGTCATTCAGAACAGCAGCATTATTTCACTTTCTTAAAAAGTACTAAAGAAAGTCACTTAGCATATTACATAATTTTTCATTTTCCTTTTTATAAATGAGAATCTTTTTTATCAATGAGAATCCACACAATACACAGTGAATTATACAGTACTGAGGTTCTGCTTTATTTATAAAAATCAGTATTAAAAAAATGTCAAATTTCAAGTAACATAGGCAGTTGCATAAATTATACAGAACAATAATTAGATTGAAAGATAGTGCTATTGACTTGTGCTTAGACTGGAGGCAAGAGAGTTACCCCTCAACAATCCCAAATTCAGCAGAATTGAATTGAGGTTTATATAGAGGAAGGTGTGATCTGGATTTGTAGTCCTATGCAACTCTTGAATCATTTGGTGAAGAGCAAACAATTCAAACATCTTCTTATTGCTTCTGCAAAAGATTTGAAATAAAATAACTGTCAATTGAAAAATGAGAGGTTTCATCTAAAGATGCTATAGAAAATTAATTTTTAATGAAAAAAAAGGTGCACTATGTTGAGAGTTTCATATAATTTCATATAATTCTTCTATGTTGTATATAGTGTTTCTAAGCAGAAGGTTATCAACGTATTGTGAGCAAAATCTTGGCAAAAATTACCAAAAGTTATCATTTTGGTATGTAATGATATGTATAGTATAATGAAAGCTCAAGGAAAGACTAACAGAGTTTTTCACTCATGTGAAATAAGGTTCCAGAGACAATAAATAAAAAATTTAAAATAATTAGGATCTCTGAGCCAATTTTGCTTTTACTGTATTTTTAATGTCAGTTATGATTTAGATTAGATTATTTTATAGTAAAACTTTTTTTTCTAGAGTTCAATTTTATTCCTTATAAAAATGAAAATCTCAGTTTTGTCAACAAGCTTTAAGTCTAATGTAAAAAAATCACTCAGTTTAGATAACCCACTTTCATAAATGAAACAAGCCCATTAAGCAATGCACCAGTGGAGATCAGCTGCACATTACCACTGATTTGATGACCTCTGTTACAATAAACCAATAATCAGTAAACAATGGGAACATGTTTTAAAAAGATTAATATTCCCAAAAGGGCTTAAATGGCTCAAAACCTCAAATTTTGTTTTTGAAGGAAATGAAAACTGATGAAACTAAAATGCAATCACAGATGAGACTAAATTTTCAAAGGAGATTACTACCAAGTATCCGAGTAAAACTGAAGGTCAGAGATTCCAAATCCCCAAGTTTACTGATCTAATAACAACTAACAGAAGAATGATAATAGAGAATTACTTTATTCTGGAGAGTTTTTGCAGGATAACACAGAGCTTTTCCAAAACTGGAACATCTAGCTTAGAACTTCGAAGCAATACAGAACAAGTGCGGAAGAAGGATTCATTACTGCACGCTTCCAGGAAAGGCTGTAAAAAACCTGTAAAAGGAAATAATTTAAAAACTGTATCACAGAGTTCAGTGCAGGGAAAAGTACAACAACTATTGATACCTTATAAAGGGTTTTAAATGCTTCATGTTGTGCAATTACTAGGACAATAAAATTACTCAGTTTATGCTAAGCATGTGATACAAAAGTCAGGTAAAACTAGAAACTGAAAAAGTGCAAGTTCCTAAGAGATCTGACACTACTGATCCTTGTATTAAAACAAGGTCTATTCCCTTGAGAAAAAAGGAAAACAGGAAACAGAACAAATAAAAACTCAAATAAAAATTCTTATAAGGGACGTGTTTATTCAGTGCTCATTTATCATGATGTTTTCCTTTTGATTATGATTCTTTCCTTTTGATTATGATTATTACAATTAATTTCCATTTATCATGATTCTTTCATTTTCTTTTTGCATGGCAAAAAGAACAATTTACTGGAAACAGCAATGAGATAAGAAAACAAACATTTAACAGCAACAATATTAACAACAAAAGTGTACAGAAGAGAGAGAATGATTCACATGCAAAAAATGCTCACTGCAGAGCTCAACCCAACCCAGTCACAGCCACGTCACCCCAACTGCTCCCTCTGGCTCGGAGCCAGAGCTACTCACCAATCCCCCCACCGCACTTACTCAGCTAGATGGAATCCCTTCTCCCTTCCCTACTCCTGGCTATGAGCTGAGGTGGTACATAATAACCTCCAGGTCCTGGCCATGACCTTTCCTGGCTTCTGCAAAAATTAACCTTATCCTGACCCGAACCAGGACACTCAGAAAGGATATTTTAAACTGCTGCAAATCACGTGGACAGGGATAGTACATCTAAGAGGTTGTGTGAGACCTGACAGTCTTTTGTTATCGAAATAGTGTCCCTGTACTCTGCTTCAAGGCAGGCAACATAATAATTGAGAGGAAAAAGTAAGTGCCGGATAACAATTAAATATCAACAAAAGTCCCTTAAAATAGTGGATGAGATTTTATGTCACACTGTATAACATTTCCCTGTACCCTGTTTCCCAAAATCTAATAACTTCAGAATAAGATCAAATCTGTTCCCTTGTTATCTCATTCTTGATTCTGACATTACAGGCTAATTTTTAGCAAAAACTTGGAGAAAATTACTAACAATTTGGTTTTCCTTAAAATTAGGAGTCTTTCATATAGCACAGAGTATTTGCATTAGTAGAATACATATATTAAGAAAATAATGTTCACATGTTAAAATATTTAATGTGTTCCACTTAAAAAGAAACTTCAATATGCAAATTACAGCATAAATCAATAAACAAGACATTAAAAAATTCTCTGCACATATGCTGAACACTGTAATTTAAAATAGGATGTCAAGATGCTTTTATCAGTACAAAGAGAACATGATGTATGTTTTGGTCAAAATTTTCCTTCTCCTTGTCCAAGGTCATACAACTTATTAAATATAACAAGTAGCCTTGGAGTGAATTCAAGGTTTAAATTTATTTCAGAAGGTTTACTGATACAACCTCAGAAGAAATGCTACAGAAAACTATCTGGAATAGGGCTTAAAAAAGAAGTCAACTTGGCTTTTAAAGTCAGCTTGAGAGCCCAAACAACTAATTTTCCCATACCTGGGCATTTATACTAAATATTCCATAAGGATCGAGTAATTCCTATTCCAACAAATGACCAAGTGCCACCTCCTTGATACAGTGAACTCATGAAACTTGTGGGCCTTTGCTGGTTTACACCCTCAGATCAAGAGACTGAAAGACATCAAATGCCTTTAACACAGATCAGAGAAACTATGGCCATGTGTAATCTTTAGTCTCTTTTCAATAGAGGTGCTTTTGGTAAACTGATTTAAAATGCTGGATTCAACAGGTAGACTCCACAAAATACATAAAAGGATGTGTGGATGGAAACCATACAGATGCAGCATATTAACAGAGTTTGGTAGCAAGAGGACAACCTTGCAGCAATAAAAAGTAAGATGACAACTGATGTATTGAGAAGTTTGGAAAAGGCAGGCAGATGTTTTGTGGTTTGCATAGCTAAAGTTTCCTGTTCTCTACCCAAAGCAACAAAAACCCTTAATTATTCAAAGATATATACATTACTGAGGCAGTAAATCATTATTAAGTCATCTAGTTTTATGTTTATATCTACTTCCATGTTTCTTGCATTCTTTCTACCATGTTCAATCCACCTATGGTTTTATGCATACTGCTCTCTCACTTTTAGTACTTTTTCCAGTTACAATTTGCTGTCTCAAAACTGTAATAGCAATAAACACAAAACCTAAATGAAAGTAAAGAATAAAAATAAGCAGTAATCAGGAAAAAATATACTGATAAAAGGATAAGTAAAGATTCTATGTCTTGTTTTATTTTACCTTCTGGTCTTCAAGGTATACCACTTTTAATATTTCCTTTTAATATTTCTGTACTTTAGCTGCAGAAGGTATTATTTTTCAGAAACTGTCAACTACTGTCAACTACAGCAAACAGAAAATCCTTAGATGAGTTCACCACATGTGCTACATTCAGTGATACATGACTGACATACACTCAGGATTCAGTGCTCTTTACTGAGCTCCTGCTCTCTGTGACTGAACTCTGATGTTATTAAGTACATACAGCAGCGTCTTAAACCTGGAAAAATAATTTAACCCAGGATTCACTTCTAGTATGATGGTGTAAATCCCTAGGGAGTCTAACGTTAAAATCCATGCGAAGAGATGACAAAACTATGAAAAGAAACAGCAAGTAAGTAAACCAAAATGAACACAATCTACCATCTCGAAAGTACTTCCTGACAAAATATTTCTATCACTTAAGAGTCTTTGAAGTAAAATTTCTATACAGATAGCAAAAAGAGATAACTTTCTCTAAAGCAAGAAAAATCTAGGACTACAAATTACATAGTCCATAACTTTATAGAAATTCTATAGAACTACAATTTTATAGAAATTCTAAATTTGCTAAAGGTCCCACAAATGACTGCCTCTTCCCAAGAAACAGAAATGGTCCTATCAACTTGGACTGTACTACTGCTGAAGTCTGTTTTAGCAACAGAAACTTGAAACTAAGTATCTCTTACTTAGCAAAGATGCCTGTCAGAAAGTAAGAAAAGTGTAAGTAAACAGGAGAACACTGACACTCAAGAAATTAATTGAGAAGGAAGGTTTTTCTTCTTTCTGTTGCCTGTTAAAACAACAAATGGTTTTATAAAACTCTCATTTAACATGACTTTAGACTCAGCTGAAGTCTGATTCATGAGATCTGAAGGTAACAAAGACTGCTTCGATGAATAAGGCAATCCTACAATTTATTCCTATAAATATCTTTAAATAGGCATAAAATGCTTTCAATTCCTTTTCTGCAGGGTAAACAAATACCATATTCTGCTGACCTGGACATTTCTTTGCTGCCTTACTCTTACTTGTTCCTTAAACATATTACATTAAAAAAAATTATATATATATACACAAACACACACATACAGATCCGTGCTCTAAGAATGGTTTTGACTGTGAAGTTTACAAATTAATGTAAAAGACAGCATTACTTTTAAGATAGAGGATTTTTCCCATAAAATAAAAGAGTCAAAGTGGAAATAAATTCTAAAAGTTCATAAAGTTCGATCAAGTGAAAGCAAACTGATAAAAGCAGATATTGAAATGGACTTTCTGTACACTGCTTGTATACTCACTTCAGGTAAGTTTTTGTAGAAAATATTCTCAGTAATCAGAAAATGAACAAAACATATAATTTGAATGCAACTCTACCTGATTAACTAAAAGAATATAAGCTTCACCTTTTTATTTTGGTGGTTTAGATCTGCATAGATTTTGCTTTTATTTAACTATGTTAGAAAAACTAAATTGGAATTCTTCCTGGCAGGACTTCATCACAATTTAAAATATCTACAAAAGCCTCCACTGGTATCCTTAAAAAAATTGCAGGATGCTGTAGTTGCATTAACTTAGTTTGACTGGTAGACTGCAATGAACAATGAGCAATTTATCACTGTTGACAGAATTCATCTGAAATTTACCCTCAAAGTAATCAGTCACTCACAGCATAAAATCTCACCAGCTACAGTTATCCAGAAAATTCTGGTTCATACATAAAGCTATGACACTTCAGAAAATTAAAACGACAACTCTAAGTTCATGTTTTATCAAATTAATGATTACAGTTTTGTCTTATTTCTACTTGTGTGAGGATCTGCTGGGAGAAAGGGGACCACATGACAGCAATGCAAGTGAATGATGGAGCACTGTCTACCAGAGTGGAGAAGTTAGCTAACACAAAAGTTAACTACGCTCCACAGTAGGAACACTTCAAAGGAAACAGCAATATCACTTGCTTATATCCAACAGTCTATAGCACAGTCACCTGTAAGATTTGAACCATTTGCTGAATTTGTCATTTTCTCCTTAGGAGAAAACTTAACAGGACTGTTAAGTGTCAGTGGTTAAAGCACAGTACAGGTGCTCACATAGGTGACACTGAATTAACAGAGCCAAAGTCACAACTTCAGCTGGTCACCCAGTATGTGTTGATTCTCAGTATGATCTGAATTGCTCTTTGGTTTTCTATGGTGTGAAGACATCCACACAAACATGAGATAGAATGTATAAGAGACCAATATCATTCTCAAATGGCAACTGGAGGTTACATCCAGAAGAAAAATTGTAATAGAAAAGGTTAAAAAATTAGCAGGAATATTTAAGCCACAAGAAATGCTTGGAATGAAAAGAAGCCTACAAGGAAAAGAAAAAAGGTCAGAAAAGAAAGCTATGCCAAGGTCAGAGACTATAAAAAGAATAGTATGAAAAGTCAAGTTAAGTCAGACCTCCTTAAGAAAAAAAAAGTTCTCCCAGACCTTTAAATAAACATAGAACATAAAAGAGGTAGTGAGGTCATCTCACTAACCAGGCCCACTAAACATATGACTCGAGGCAGCATGCCAATGTTTGAGGGACCATGTGAGGTCCTCTGGTCTG